TAGGACCCTTTAGCTGGCGATCAGTCGCTGGGAGGAGCCTCCCAGCGAACGTTTCCCTCTGTTCGCCAGCGGAAGGGCCATGGTGACTCTCCAATTGGCCCAAAGGTCCATTAAATAGTTTCTCTAGAAAATGCCATAAAGAAAAATCAGAAAAATGAAAAAATGTAACACAAGTTGCCATGTACCCAGTCATCACCCAAAAATTTTGTTTGCAAAAAGAAGTGGCAGCAGAAAAATACCACCTCTCAATATTAAAAAATGTCATTATCTTAACGTCATGCTGTTATAAATAAAAAATGTCAAACTCTTTCCCTAAAAAATGTCATTCTCTTATTAATATATGTCATATCATTATAACAAAAATCCCCTCACTATTAAAAATGCTATCATATTATAAACAAAAAATGGCATGCTCTTATATTAATAAAAACTGCCATGCCACTAATAATAAAAACGGCATTAAAAATGTCATCATCTTAATGATAAAAGAATTCCATCATCATAATAATAAGAATGTCATCCTACTTAATAAAATGGCATTCTCTTCTTAATAAAACTGCCATGCCGTTAAAAATAAAACTATCATCCTCTCAATAAAAAATGCCACCATCTTATAATAAAAAATGTCATCCACTTATAATAAAACTGCCCCGTGAGAAAGTAAAAAAAGTTATTTTATGGACGAAATAAAAAACAAAAACCTTCAAAAATATCATGTTGTATATAAACATAAGTTTTAACACAAATGTTCATGAACTGGGGGTGGGAAGAAATGTGAAATGGAAACCTTACGTTCTTTTTAAGTAGTAGAGATATTGATACTCGGTGGCTTGAATTTGGCGCAGATTAAAATAATGATTGTGTGCATCACATGATGCAGAGACTGAGTACGCCCTTTTCGAAACAAAATAGGAAAAATTGCCGTGGCTAAACATTTGGTCTCTGATTAAAATGGTTGCTGACTTTTTGGCATGCCAAAATGTCTCTTTGTCAACCATAGTTTGTTTTTCTTGTCATCTTTTGCTAGGATATCTCGTGCCTCCTGCTGGTGCCGCCGTCGGTCTACCTCATCTTCTATGGTCTTAGGGTCATGGAGGCGTGGTGGATCCCAGCCCTTGCCTGCGGGAAGGCTTCGTGTTTTCATGTTTTTTTTACTTTGTTAGGCATCATGCCCTGCTCAAAGAGGCGAGGCGGCAACGGCTGTCTAAACATCTAATAAGGATCTTTCCGTCCAGTCCCCATTTTGGTGGTGTTTCTAGCATTGTCAGAGAGCGTGTGGAGGTTTGTTTCCGGCGGACTCACGGGATTCGGTTGGCGTTTACTCATTCATAAAATGTTCGTTCATTCAAAAAAAAATGCTCATGCATTTAAAAAATGTTTGTTAAATAAAAAAATGTTCATGAATTCCAAAAATCGTTCCATCAATTTCCAAAAAGATGTTCATCGATTGTAGAAATGTTCGCCGATTGAAATAAGTTGTTTCAAAAAATGTTCACAATTTTTTAAATGTTTGCAAATAGTATAAAATGTTCATGAATTAAAAAATATGTTCTTAATTTTAGAAAATGTTAAAAATTTGTAACAGTGTTCACAAAATTGAATAATGTTCATGATTTCAAATATGTGCACGAGATGCAGCAAAATGTGGTCATGGCCATTGGAGATTATGATTTTTTGTTTTCCCGTTGCAACGCACGGGCCCTTTTGCTAGTATACCTAATGTTTGCAACACATGGAAAACATGTTAAAGAGCACTTTTTTGTAAGACAAAAGACCATAGCCCAAGTACTGCATAGCCCTGCTTTATGTTATAGAGCAAACACCACCAACAGGGTACATCCAACAGCCACGTATAAGTTCAAGCCATGCGAATGAAGAGGCATGCCACACTATGGGCAGCCAACAGGACAGCCAATGCCAGCAGGTCGACCTGCCGCTAGGACATCAGCTGTCTAACGACCACATGAGCAAATGCCAAATAATTCCTAAAACTAGGAGCACTCAAATTTGCACATAAATCTCAAGACAAACAAAGCAAAGAGTGCAACAATTTTTCATGACACCACAAACTGGTGTTATCTCACATTCGCATGGGTAGGTTTCAGAACACTTGAATATGCTATCAAGTAGTAGTACACAACTGAGATAGACATAAGACATTATGGTATACGGAGTGGGTTAGGAGTGCTAGTTTTCTTACAAGTGCAATTATCAATCGTCAAACTCAATGCCATCAGATGCCTGGAACTCGTACCTAAAGCAATTAGGCCCAAGAAGATTATAGGGAATATCCATAGTTGACCAAGTTACCATCACCTCCACTTTGGCCAAACCAAAATAGAAAGGCCGGCTCTGAGTTCCATGTTTTTCAACCCGGAAAACATCGCATCGATAGATGTCCGGCCCACCCTTCTGACTGAGCTTCAATGTTACAACCAACTTTGCATCTTGCGCCACAGCAACCACGGCCCTGGTTAGCTCAGATGTCTCGGCAGCGATAACCCCATCAAACAGCTGGATTTTGCCACGTGCAGCATAAGATGGGCTAGTGTAAGACCCTACCAAACACAGGCTTAAGCAACTGTCCTGCTGAATTTCTGATATCCCAACCTGTATAGTGGCCTCCGAGGCTTGTTCCAGAAGTGCAAACGTTATGTCCACTGAGCCACAATCACCATCCAATCGTCGTGTGATTACCCTAGCGTGGCCTGTGCCTCTGTCGCTGAATTGGGCAACACCATCAATGAGCTCTAGATCACCACATTCTTCTCCTCCTGTCTTAATCTTCAGGTCAAACTCGATTAGCACAGTAGCTTCCATTCTGATGCCTCTCTTAGGACCAGACATCTGTATGAGGCCATCATGCCCCACAATGAAAGGATCATCTCTTGTACGGTTGAAGACATAGTTGCGCATAGGGTTCAACAGATCTCTGACAGCCACGTAGCCATACAACTCAACTGGGTCACCAACATACGATGTGTTAGCTAGCTTCAGCGAGAATATCTGCATCATGGCGCAATATGAATGCCTTCCACAGACCCTCCAGTTAGGCATGCAACTGTCATAAGGCACAGTCATCATCATTGGCTCCAGACAAGCTGATCGACAACAATAGAAATCATTCAGTACATGATTAAAACAATTAACCTACAGCCTTCAACTGAAAGGAGACAAAACAGATTGATACAAACAAATATCATGAATCATGATTTTCGTACTCATACATATGAGACCTAATGATGTCTAAAATTGTAATGTAGGACTGAAACATAAATATGACAATTACGAATATTAACATAATAATACGGCAGTCATAAATTTGGATAAAAACCATAATGTTAAGCATATAGCTTACTTAAGTATGGCAAAATCCCTATTGTTACGGCCATCTAATAAATTTTTGGCTACAGAAAATGAGTGGAAAATACTGAACTTGTTAGTGTGCTTCGTGGGATGAGAATGAGAGAGTATGTACACTAAATGTCTAGTCGCAAAAAGTTGTTTCACATATAGCTACATATGATTTTTTACGTACCATTGGTGACTTTTGCATGTACATGGCATGTTCTAGAATATGCAGCAGACCGTATGAAAACAGCGGATCATGATTAATTTAAACGGGCTTGGAACTGGGGCATCGTCTTGCGCATATAATCTAAAGAATGAACCGAATTTAACTTGCAAAAAATTACCAAGTAAAACAAACAACAACACGAGGATCCATCGATCTTGTGCATCTAAATATTTTTAATCAACAGAAACAAGTGATTGTAAATGATCAGTAGACATTTTTTAGATCATACAACAGACCTGTTTTAACTTTAGATATACCATTAACAGCACCTGTACCATTAAAATGACACCATTTTGGCAAAATATTACTGAAAGACCTGACTTCAGATATATAGCATTGAGAAGAACACTGCGTCACAAAATAGACGATTCTG